CACACACACACACACACACACACACACACACACACATACACACACAAACACCTCGCGCAGACACATCAACACACAGAGACAATAATATTATAATATAATATGCACAGACAGACAATCAAGACTGACCTGTGGTGACCTCCACCAGCTGAGGCCGGATCTGTGCCACGGCGATGCCCACAGGGATGTTGGGGCCTGCGGAGGAGGTACAGACAGATAGACAGACGGACATACAGAGACGTGTGAGGGCTGGAGATTGTGGGAGGTAGGGTAACAAGGGGATAAGGAGAATGAGTGCATGAGTGTATGTGCGCTCGTGTGTTTATGACAGCAGAAATACGATTGAAGAGCATGTCACAGAGCCCTGGCTTTTGAAGACTGCCACTAGAAAGACAGTTTGGAGAGCAATGAATGAGTTGGGTTTTGTTGTGTTTAATGTAGGTGTTTTTACACAATTCAGATCAATTTAGGATGCTGGGCATCCAATCCTGCCTTTCAGCGCCAACCCGAAATGAGAGGGACACAACATTCCAATAGAAAAACACGAGACACTCGGTAAACATTTTCTTCCCCATCGGGAATCGAATTAGGGTCCTGTGCATGCTATGGCAAAGCGCCTAACCGCTACACCACAGACGCTAGTAATGAAAGAGTTAGGTCGTGGAGAGTAGAGCAATGTATGAGAGAGAAGGAAAGAGTTAAGACATAGAGAGTAGAACAATATGAAAGAGTTAGCACACGGAGAGTAGAGCAATGCATGGGAGAGAATGAAAGAGTTAGGACGCGGAGAGTAGAGCAATGTATGTGAGAGAAAGAAAGATTTAGCACATGGAGGGTAGAGAAATGTATGTGATAGAATGAAAGAGTTAGGACACAGACAGTAGAGCAATATATGGGAGAAAATGAAAGAGTTAAGACATTGAGAGTAGAACAATGAAAGAGTTAGGACATGGAGAGTAGAACAATGAAAGAGTTAGGACATGGAGAGTAGAACAATGAAAGAGTTAGGACATGGAGAATAGAACAATGAAAGAGTTATGACAAGCAACAGTGTCTAATATTGGGTGTTTCACATTCCTATCAACATAATTTAGATCATTTAGGAGGCGGGCTTCCGACCCTGCCTGTGACTAAAGCCTAGCGAGATACAAGATCCAAGTAGAAAGACCGAGATACTCGATGCTGTTCTCTTTATTCGGGAATCGAACTCGAGACTCCTGCATGCGACTAATCGCTACACCACAGATACCGATATGCAATGAATGCATTAGGACATGGAAAGTGGAGCAATGTGTGAATAAGAACACGTCCAAACGCGGATAGCGCGCGCCGGGAACCACCCTCAAGAACAGGAAGTGAGTCAGCTCAACCGGAACAGCGTACGTCCTTAGCTCAGTGGGTTCGACACTTGACTGAGGAAGGGGTAATTAACGCGCGGTGTCCATGACTCAAGTGTTTCAAAATGTGCATATATTTTGGACTGTATTACGTATGGGCTCTCTACCTTTACATACCTCAGACAGGAGTAAATTCCTCAACTTCAAAAACGATCTACGATGAATTTTGTAAAGGGTGTAACAGTGAACAGAAAATGATCGTGTCATTTAATACGATCACACAAAATGGGTCAAGGTCAGTTTTAGTGAGAGTTTTGCAACACAATTAGGTCATATAAGTGACGAAGATTAGAGGTATCACAAGGGAGTAACATACACAAAAAAGAAGGAGGGGACATAAAGACGATAGATGTTTGATAGGAAAGAAGGAGCAAAGCACCCGACAACCACCCACTGGATCAAGGTCACACAGTGAGTCACCATGGAAGAGGACAGTCAGCGGGTCTGGGTCACTTGGGAAGTGGGGGACTCGTGCAGCGAGTCGATAAATGAGTATACTGGTCGCAGACAAAGGAAGCCATGATCACATTGAAAGAGTGTTAAGGCCACACTCATTGTACGCTCTCTGGAGAGAGGACGGGGGGGGAAGGGGGGGGGCTATGACCAAAGAACGAAAATGTATAACTACTTCCTTAAGCTAAGGTCACATTTACACGCCTTTCTTGCACAACTCATGTATTCACCTGGCCCATGACTGCTGGATGAGTCCAGTGACTTCCCCTCTATCCCCGTCCCTTCCGCCTCGACATGCGCGGGAGACGAGGTGTTGGTGGGGGTGCTAGGGGCGAGCGGCATGGCGGAAGGCGGAGCCGACCCACAGCGCGCGCCTGCAGAAGAGGAGGAGGAGGAGGAACCAGACGGTGAGGCGTCCTCTGGCAGACGTAGCCGCTTCCGGGCCTTGTCTGCGACACTCTTTGACGTTATATCGCCCGACGACATAGGGTGCGGCGTTCGCTTTTTCTGCGCAGAAGTCTGGGCGGAGCTTGAGGTAGCGGCCCTCCGCGGGCTGGGTTTCCCCACTTCTGCCGGCCTGGGCAACGGTTTGGTCCGCGATGGCAGCATGATTTTGGTGGTGATTGCCTTGCTGCTATCCGGAACAGACTTGACGGTACCACTGTGGACTTTTGCCGACACCGACTCTGGCGTGCTGCTATTTCCAGGCTTAGAATTCAACACGTTAACACTCGATGGCATAACATTTCTCTTGGAGGCGTCTTGCCTAGCGTCCGCAGGGTCGGGTTTCCCAAGAGCACTAGTCCTCAACCCGACATGGCGCCGGTGTTTGGGCGCCACCTCTCGCGGCAAGCTGTAGTCTATGGCTTGTTGCGAACTTTTCCCCACGGCGCTCGGACGGGTCAACGACCCCAGCACCTCTCTCCTGCCCAGCGAGTCTGACAGACCCAGAGGCTCTGCCCCTGTAGGCGGGCACAGATTTAAATCAACCGTCTGCTTACCTCTCTCGTCGCTGACCCTCAGAGACGCCTCAGCAATGTCATCCCTGCTCTTAGCGTGGGCGGGGCTTGTTGACCTTGACCTCGACTTTTCCTGTGAGTCCCTCTCGTCATCAATGACGAGCTCGTGTCTCTCGTCGCTGTCGCTATCGTCGTCATCTTCGTCTCCACCCGAATCAACATCCAAAGGGACCCCGGTTAGACCGGTGAGCCTCCCTGGTCGCATCCGGCCGGCCGTGTCGCTGGACGAGATCTCCGCCACGTGTGACGTCATAGCGCTGTTGCTGCTGTTGAACTTGCCCGCGACGCCCCCTACAGGGCTGAGGGAAGAGTCCACTGACGGTTTAGGCTCGCGCGGGGACAGGTGAACGGAGGCGGGCGGGTGCCATGACAGGGCGGGGCCACCATGCTCCGTGGGGTTGGGGGACAATGAGGCGGGGTTTGCCTCTGATTTGGGCGGGCCATCGCCGAGAGTGACAGAAACGGTGAGTCCTCCCGAAGGAGACACGGATGACGTCATGACAGACGGGGCGGGAGAGACGGAGGAGGAGGAGGAAGAGGTAGCAGAAGCCTGTTTAGCCATGGCCTTGATGTTGGGCCCCTTGAACACGCCCACCTCGGGCACGTAGGTTGTGGCGTGGACTTTCTTGGCGCCCGCGGGGACGGAGTACAGCGTGTGGTAGTACGGCAGAGCGGATGACACACCACGTGAACCCACACCATGCGACGCCACGCCACGTGGAGACACGTTGGGTCCGGTTGTACCTGTAAGTGAAAAAAACGAGATGCTATCTTTGATCGAATTTATGTTCATTCCTTTTCTTTCTTGAACACACTTTGTAAGTCTAAGTTCCTGTTATCTTTTTCGCTCTCTTCAACACAATTCTTGTTTTAGTGCGTTTGAATAAAGGGAAGCACACCGACATATAATACTGGTAACAACAACAACAGTCGGAACAACAAAATATATCACAACTGGGAATCAGACTTTTTTATCCTCGACTCCACCTCCTTGTCAGACTCTTTCTTCCTTTTCTTCTCGGCTCCCCCTCTCCCTTCTACTTACTCTCTCCCTTCTTCACATTTCTTATCCCTACTCCCCACCTCCTCAGTTTTTCCCCTCACTCTTCTCTCAACTCAATTGCCCGCTGTGTGTTCACTAGCAACTACTGATCCGTAATCCGACATAATTTGAATTTATACCATTTTACAATATGCGTTATGTCCAAATAGAATTAATCAAATTTTGAAAATATTATGCCGATTAAGACACTGTCCATATTTCTAACTCTCGCGTCCTTTGATCTTTACTGGATTTTTATATATGTATATGTGAGTGTACATAATATGTACATATTATATATAAAAAATACATATATATTATATATATA